GGCTTGAAAAATAGCATTTGCTCAAAACATTGCCAAGTAAATAAATTACAACCAAAGTTATTAAAGGTGATTCTTCTCTAAAAGTCTAATTTATTTATTTTATCACCTTTGCATTTTTCTACTTATCATTTAAATTTCCTTTCTTGTAAAAAAACAAAAAAACTTTCCTTAAGTTTAGGTGAGTGTAGACTAATAATATAATGAAGAAAAATTTTAAATGTGATCAAACGTCAAACTTGTTAAACCTCAGAATAGGATTATCCAGAAATGATAATGATGTGGCTTAGTCATCATTTAATATATACATACTGTTACGTATCTACTTGTTTGTTAATTTCTGGTACAAATTCTTTCCGAAGAACTTCAGCAATACAAGTCCTTTCTTGATTAAGCCAGTTTATTCTTTCTTGATACAAACTTTTAGTACACAGTAATTCCACAGTCAATACGTTTCTCGTCACTTTAAACTTAACAACTTTTATAATATACGCTATAAATCACAGTGATTCACACACTTTACTTATCGTCACTACTCTTCGCTTCTTAAATTGTGTATCTCTATATCTATTTATCTCGCTGGTTTTCTTTGCCAGGCTTATATACTAAAAAAAGAGGGTGTCTAGCAAACACTCGGACATTCGCGGGGTTCCCCAATTATTCGAGAAACACTGCCCCTCCCTTAGAAATTGTTCATCCCAAACAATAGCCACTTATATTAAACCTATAGATAATTAACAATAACTTAACTAAATGTACAGAATTTACAAAACAAAATTAAAATACAACAAAGTCTCTTAATTTTACAGGATGTTTCTTCTTTCGTACTGGTCTCCATCTCATTGGCTTCTGCTTTATGTGGGATTCATCTGCTCGATCAGAAAATGTCTCATTATCAGTAGCAGTCACATCAGTGGTAGTAACTTCATTAACCGGGTAGTTTTTTCCTCGACAGTGGCTTTTTTAGGTGACACATCTTCAGCACCGTCATTTGTTCTGTTGTTCATTTCGTTCCAACCTGGACCGTCATAACGCCAAAGCCTGTTGGCATGCACCACCTTCAACTTACCTCGCCAACCACATTTTATTTGGAAAGTCACGTCTGAGAGACGATCCACTATGTCATATGGGCCTTCCCATGGAGAAGACAACTTAGAAGACTTCCCTTTGATCTTCTTGGGATTATACAACCACACCTTGTCTCCTGGTACAAAGCTGACTTCAGTAAATTTCTTACCATAACATAGCTTTCATGGAATCAGCAGACGTTTTTAAGTTTGAAAGCACTTGATGGTGAATATTATCCATCCTTTCTGATAACACTTTCACGAACTCTGACACATTTTCAGGCAACTCTTCATAAGGT